CATAAGGCATAAACAAGAATTATGTTGAAATGACTTAACTATTCATATTAATTGGGTTTAAACAGGTAACATATTATATAAGTTATATTCACGATTATAACATGTTGACTTAAATGAGTCATAAACGGGTTATACGGGTTAAACCTCTCAACCCTAACCCGACACGGTTAAGTAAGCAGGTTAATCGTGTCGACCCTTTTATGACCCAAACCCTTTTAATTTGTGTCGTATTTTCGTGTCGTATCATAATTTGCCACCCTTATTTGTTTAGAGTTTGGATGACAAATTTACCCTTTCGGTAGTAAAACAGAGTTAAGAAAATAATTTCGACTGTATCAAATTAAAAATTTTCTTTGAAGACCAAGACTAACAATTTAATCCGTTTCTCTTTATCCGGGTCCCAAAACAGTGAAATTTTTTAATTTTATTTGTGGAAAAAGGAAATTTTTTATTTTATTTGTGGAAAAAGGAAAATTTTGAAGTTGGGGTTACGTGGAAAAATATAGGTGATAGTCGCGTACGTAGTTTGATAAAGTCCATTGTTTTTTAGTTGATTCAGAAGAAATGATTTCAACAGCTCTTATTGTGAACTTACACGCGCTTGAGGTAACAATCCACTCACGACCACCACCTAATACATTGCACCAACCTATTTATTGCCAATTTTGTTCTTATGTACATGAAAAAATTGATGACATACACTTGATCAAACAATTGGAAATTTAGAATTGGTCATGAGATGTTGGTTGTAAAAATAATTGAACGAGTCAGTCAACTGTGTCACACCATGGATGACCTAAGAAGTAAGAACCAATCGAACATAAAAGTCAACGAGGCCCTTATGATTCATGTAACTTATGCATATGGCAATCTCTTTTTCTTCTCATTGTTGGCTATTACCCACCACTCACCGAGGCCAACACAACCCTAGCAAAATTATTAAATGATTTGGAATTATATTATCATTCGGAATTAATAATCATGGCATCAAAAAATTATCCAATATTATATTGTTTTTACTATTGAACATGTCATGACACAATAAGATTAGATAAAGTTAACATATTTGATGTCGTGACATATTCTGATTCGGTGGAAGCATATAGTACGTCTTAGAATATCAAATCATTTCTCTTCTAATTAGAGGGAAAATTATAGACAGAGATATATATGTGTTATATATATATAATATTATATGAGTATGTGCAGATGAAGAAAGAGAACTGAGACCTCTTTCCCTACCCACTAGTTAGCTTTTGTCAAAAATTAAGTGAAAGTGTAAAAAAGGGAAAAGAATGGATAAAATACATTATTTCTCTTTCTTTTAAAATGTATGGATTTGTATATTTATCCATAACATGTATATTACATTCCTTTCATCCTACTCAGCCAAATAAAAAAGACATAGGGATAGACCTTCCTTTAACCCAATTCTTTTCATCCCTCCTAACAAACGTAGCATTAGTAGTTTTAACCAATCATTAAATATATACTAATGCTTTGTTTGGTAGATTGAGGAAAGAGGTGGGGAGGAAGATAGAGTGGAAGGACGAATTTCATTTGTTCCATAGAAGAGAGATACTAAGAAAAACGACAATAAAAGTGGCAAATCATCATTTTTCTTTGACAAATTTTATCTCGACCTCCAAATATAGACGAGGGTAACTATAGACGAGGGTAACGATAGAAAACAAGTGGGGCTATAGAAGTTTTAAATTACTACTATCCTAAATTATATAAACAAACACTAAAAATTTTTTACTATCCTAATTTAAAACTCTCTTCTTCCCTTAACAAACACAATAAATTATAAACTTATTCTCTTTTCTTCTATCCAACCGAACAAAAAGAGAGAATGATACAATCTCCTCTCTAAAAATATCTCATCCGTCCAAATTTTCTTTCCATACCAAACTAATTAAGCATAAAGAAATATTAATTATGTGTCTTGTGGTGGTTGTTCCTTTGATTAACCAAGTGTGTTTTGTCGTGTGGGGAAGAACAATGCTTACTGGCATATAAGTTAGATCTAAAACATTCAGACTTTATCACTTTAGATAGATATGTTTTAAGTGATAAAACATAAATTCCAAATAAAATATAGATACATTATTTCTCTTTCTTTTAAAATGTATGGATTCATATATTTATCCATAACATATATATTACATTCCTTACATCCTACTCCACCAAATATAAAAGACATAGGGATAGACCTTCCTTTTACCCAATTCTTTTCATCCCTCCTAACAAATGTAGCGTTAGTAGTTTTAATCAATCATTAGATATATGCTAATGCTTTGTTTGGTAGATTGAAGAAAGAGGTGCGGGGGAAGATAAAGAGTCGGAGGACGAATTTCATCTGTTCGATAGAAGAGAGATACTAAGAAAAAAAATAATAGAAGTGATAAATCATCATTTTTCTTATGCAAATTTTATCTCCACCTCCAAATATAGATGAGGGTAACGAGAGAAAACAAATGGAGCTATAGAAGTTTTAAATTACTATTATCCTAAATTATATAAACAAACACTAAAAAAATTTTATTATCCTAAATTAAAACTCTCTTCTTCCCTTAACAAACACGATAAATTATAAACTTATTCTCTTATCTTTCATCCAACTGAACAAAAAGAAGAAATGATACAATCACTTCTCTAAAAATATCTCATCAGTCCAAATTTTTCTTTCCATAACAATCTAATTAAGCATAAAGAAATATTACTTATGTGTCTTGTGGTGGTTATTCCTTTGATTAACTAAGTGTGTTTTGTGGTGGGGAAGAACAATGCTTATTAGAGCATTTCCAATGCTAAAACCTATTTTTGTATGCTAAATCTATATTTTGACAGGTGTTACAGTGCCAAAATGCTACATTTTAGCAATTCTACTCCAATGGTACATTCCACGCAAAATTCTTTTTCAACTACCATTCCTACCATTTATATTTGCATCAGTAATATTAATATTAGGCACATTCCAAGTCAAATTGTAGATATCAAAAGGAAATTAAAATTAAACCTAATTAAAAAGAAATACAAATCTAAAACATCTAGTAAAAAAAGGACCAAAATAAACAAATTTTTTATAATTTTTTTACCACTATTTGTGAATTAATTTTTTTATATAATTTTTTTTTTCAAAAATTTATATATATATTATATATTATATATGTATATTATATATATAATATACATATAAAGATGCAAGTGGATAATGACCGGTGAGAAACGGCACCGTTTTGGAAAATGAGAGACTTGCCAAAAAAATTTGGCAGCTGCCATATATAAGAAGAAATTTGAGAATCTCAAATTTTGAGAGCTCAAATAAGAGCCCATTGGAAAGGCCCTTTTTTACCCAACTCTCATATTTTGAGTTTGAGAGACCCAAATGAGAGAGCATTGGAGTTGCTCGACCTAAAACATTTGGACTTTATCACTTTAGATATATATGTTTTAAGTGATAAAACATAAATTCCAAATGAAATATAGATACATAAATATAAATAAATAATCTTTCCGACTAGTATTTTAGGTCCAACTTATTGGCTCAAATATAACTTTTTTTTTTTTTTTTTTTTTTTTAAGTGAGAATCATACAAACTAATGGCCACCAATTATGACTGAATGATAACACAATGTGTAGGCATAATGACATCAAAAGATAGAGGATGCATTGTACATGAAACTTGTAGTTTACTGGACTTCTTTTCTCACTGGGTTAGTTTACTCCAACAAATATCATTGTACATGAAAAGTCCATTTGTAGTTAAATTGAACCTTAAATTTTTCTATTTTGTTTGGGCAGGCCCGGCCCGGCCCAACCCAGCATGCTTAATGCAACGTCAGTCATGCAAGCATAGCCCACGATAGATCTGGGTTGGATCGAACCCCATCCCATTCAATATCATTTTAAATTCAATTACTTCTCTCTGTACTTGATTTTTACTTGAACACAGTTAAATAAAGCCTTTGATTATTATAGCAAGCTTGAAAAAATAAAAATAAAAATAAAAACAAAACAAAACAGAAAATGAAGCCCAAAAACCAAAAGGGTGTTAATATTAACCAAGTCGCGGCCCACCAGAAAATATGTACCAACACTTGCAGGAAATGGCTAAACCCAAGGTGATACCTAAAAATTTATTTTGAAATTTTTTTTAAATAATAATAATAAACACTTAGTAGATTGGGTTATTTAATCAAAAATCTGATTAATTACAAATCGATTATGGATTTATTCACAAATAATTCTTCGAATTATTGGATCAAGACCCAACCCTGATTTGGTTGAAATCTAATATAGTGGAAAGTAGTGTAAGACTTTGTCACAAAATCTCAAGTATTGCGAAAAATAGTAAATGAATAAAAACATTTTACAAGCAACAAAAAAAATAATAAATACAAAAACCCTGATATAATTACTTTTTCTTTTTAAATAAAAAAAACAATTCTATTTCAAATATTTCATATTCAAATATATAAATTTATGGAGCAGTATAATTATATACAACGTTTCTTAAATTTTGATTTTTTTAAATAGTGTTGATCGTAACCTTGACATCTCATCAATTCAAAAAAATAAAATAAAAGGATTTTACACAAGTTTTGGATGATTTATCACAATCAATATTTGCCATCATAAGTCAAGTTTCATGGAAATTTAGGGCTTGTTTGACAATCAATTTTTTTGTTTTGTGTTTTTGTTAGTATATTATAGCAAAGCCAAACATTGAAATACATTTGATAACTTTTGTTGCGTTTGAATTTGTCGAGAAAAGAATTAGATAAAAAAATATCAAATAGCAGTGTAAAATAATTTTTAAAAAATTACCCCTTTTTAACCGACCATTTTATTTTCAATTTTGTAATTTTTTTTTTTTTTTTTTTTTTTTTTTATCAAACAGTTTTTGCATTTTTACTTTCAAAAATTTGTAACAAATTTTATATTACCAAACATGTTTTCAAGTGCAAACTACAGTTACCAAACATGGCCTTACTAATACATGAAGTAATAATAATAATAATGATAATTCATAATTTTCGTTTTTTGTCGAACTTGTTCGCTTTGCCAAATAAAACAAAAGGAGAGAAGAAAAAAAGTAGGATTGAGAGAATAGCAAAAAGAAAAAACTGTGCGCCTAATCACGTGATAGTCACGTGGAGAATATTATCCTCAAAACATTAAACAAAAATAAAAAGAGTCGTACACAAAAATAAGTCATTTGATGATCAACTGAAAACGGTCCAATTTATCTACCGGATAAGGGCTCGTCGGAGCTCCTCAGCCAGCAAACCCGGCGCACTCAGGTGGGGCAAGTGGCCCTCAATGTCCAACATCACCACCGTGTTCGGCCCACCAAGGTTATCCTTCAAATACTCCGCCACCGTCGGCGGCACACACATGTCCTTAGCAGTCTGAATAATACAACATGGCACCGTAACCATTTTCAAAATCCCCCTCAAATCACTTCTAAACACGGTCTGTGACACCAGCAATGATATGTCTGGCCTCATGTTGAACAAAGTCCTGCTGAATTCCTGAACTGCCACCGGAACATCGGCTCCGACCGCCAACGGAGCCGTTCCCTTAACCCATGCCTCATAATTGGCCTCCATTGCTACAAACACTTCCTCAATTTCGTCTTGCTCAAACCCACCATGGTAATCCCTATCGTTTAAGAATCTGTAAATCAACACACACATTTTTTCAAATTCATCAATCTTTACAAACTATATGAAAATCTATAATACCCTACTCTCCAAATATTATACACTTTCTCGTGCAGTTTTTTAATACAATTATATTTATTTTTAATACATTAACTGTATTTATTTTAATCAAAATTTTTTAAAAAAAGTTGAAAAATTATTGAAGTGGAGAAGTATACTTTAGTATTTTTTAACACAATTAAATTTATTTTTAATATATTAAATTAATGTATTTTAATTAGATTTAATAGGCTAAAAAACAGAATAAATGTATTAAAAATTATTATATTAAAAAAACGCTGAAAAACAAAAGTAAATGTTTTAAAAAACAGAATTAATCCATACCACTATTCTAAAATTATATTATATATATTACTCCTACCTTGGAGAAGCGCCGATGAGGATGAGTTTAGTGAAGAGCTCCGGGCGGCGAATGGAAGCTAGGATTCCGATCATGGCGGAGACGGAGTGGCCGACATAGGAGCAGCGATCGACGCTGAGAACGTCGAGGATGTGGAGGAGGTCGTCGACGTAGGCATGGAGAGAGGTGTAGCGCTGGAAATCGAAGTGGTCGGGGTTGACACTGCCGGCACAGACAAGGTCGTAGAGTATGACAGTGTAGTGAGGCAAGAAATAGGGCAGAATGCGGTTCCAGGCCGACTGGTCGGTGCCGAAGCCGTGGGCTAGGACGAGGATCCTCTCGCCGGAGCCGACCACCTGGACGTTCAGGGCATCCAAGAGGTGATGACCCATTTGTGGGAGTTCCGACAAGATATGTGGTTGGAGAGAGAATGGTATCGGTAGGTATAAGTTGCCTTTTATATATATGTCTGCTTAGTGCTTTGTTTGACTATATCTAATAGTAGTAGATATTTTTCATTTTTTTTTTTTTTTTTTTTGCCTTTCTATTTGGTACCAATAAACTCACGCACCAATGTTATGGTTGTGAATGATGGGAAACTTTGTTTGAAAACGTGACAGCTAAATCTGGAATGTATGAACCTAGAATTAAAATTTTGATATATATATACTTTTATGGTATGTTTCATGGTTGTAACTGTCAGTTACACCAACTATTGCAATGATTAATTTTTAGAAGGTTGAAATTCTACTTAGCAAAAGTTGGAATGGGTAAGATTTTTGAATTGTTTATGTTTTAATTTGGACTTACCCGATTTGGTTTTACTTTCCTGCCAAGCTATATAGTACGGACACGGATACCGAACACAAATATGAACACATACACGTTAATAAGTTAAATTTTTTAAAAGTAAGAAGCGTGAATATGACTACATATAAATATAAATTTTTATTTTAATACTTTTATTTAATAATAGTATTATAAAACTTTAATTCATTTATAATTTATATACTAAGAGTTACTCTGAAATGAAATAAAAAATGATATTATGTCATTATTGTAATGATTTTTATATTATATATACCAGTATTTCACTACTTTTATCATAATAGTTGATAGGGAAAAATAAACTTAACCTACTTTGACCTAACGATAGAAGTAACTAAATATTGACCTAACGATAGACCTCTTCGACTTTCGAATTATGATATTTCGTTATCAAGGATGAGATAAGATGATGTGGTTCAATAGGGTAATGATATTCTTGGCACAACTTGAAAAAGTCGAAGAGGTCTACGACAAAAAACTATTACTAAATCCCTGCATTTCTTTTAGACCTCCGGTGACTGACTTGATCATCGGAGAGCTCTTGGCAGGCATCACACCGGTGTCGTCAAGATTTATCGATCATCTACTCTCTTCTTTGCAAGAAAACGGTGTCGTATCGGATCGCGTAGATTTCTCCCCCAACAGTTGGCGCCGTCTGTGGGAAACGACGATTCCCTTAAATCAATAAATTACTCGGTTGGGTATATGCATTTGCGGTCCGGTATGGTAACTGGAAAAGAAACATCGTTGCAGGTATCCAGTCAAAGAGAAGTGTCTAGTGAACACCCAAACGTCACGAATGACCAGGAACAGTTTGTAGCGTTAGAACTACAGGTCCAAACCCTAAATCAGGGTATGGACCAGTTGATCTAGCAAAATGCAGAGATCCTGCAACATCTTATCCCAACGGGACCACCACCTCAACAAGAATTGTCCGACCCATATCCTCCCAATCTGAATCATGGGGGAGAAAAGGAGGAGGACCGAGAAAACGATCTTTCTCACGAGTTCGAGGCAGAACAAAGCCAAGTCGGAAACCGACATAGAGAACCTCCTTCTCCACCTCCGCGGAATCCCTAGCCTCAAACAGGCACAACCTTCTGTGTTAAGGAAGAGACAGAGAAAGTTACCTATTTTGACCTACAGATCGATGATCTCAAGGCGAAAAATGGAAGTTGTAATACAGGCTATGAAAGAGAAAAGTCTTGCCACCATAGATGACCTGGTGCAGAGGACCAACTTGCCGTTTAGCCCCGCCGTTATGAAATGCCCCCTGTCTAGCAAGTTCAGGATGTCCTCGTTCGAAAGCTTCGATGGGACCAAAAATTTTCTCGATTACCTGGAGACCTTTCAAGCTCTTATGCATTTACATGCCGTGCCAAATGAAATCATGTGCCAAGCTTTTCCCACTACACTTAAGGGATCGGCAAGAGTTTGGTTCAACAATCTGAAACCAGGAACCATCAACACCTTCGAAGAACTGAGTAAGCAGTTTGTGAGCCATTTCATTGCAAGTCAGAGGCATAGGAGGCCGGCCACCTACCTACTTACCGTGAAGGAACAGAAGAGAGAGTCGATCCCGGAATACATCACTCGATTCAACACAGAGATGTTGCAGGTAGAAGAGGTGGACGACAAGGTGGTTTTAACCACTTTCATAAGAGGACTCCAAACCTCCAGATTCTTGTTCTCTTTATCAAAAGAACCTCCCACCAGCATGGCAGAGTTGTTGATCAGAGCGCAGAAACACATGAACGCTAAAGACGCCATGAATGCACGGAAGGGAAAGGAATGAGAAGACAAGAAGAGATCAGCCCCTCTCGTCAGTGATGAAAAGGATACCAAATATAAGAGATCATTTTTCAGCCAAACGATATGACATGTCATAAGAAGGACTCAGATAAGTATACCAACTAAAAATTGTCTCACAATTAGAATTAACCTTATCAAGTCATTCAAAATAAAGACTGGGGGCATCTCAGTTAATCATTTCAAATGGAGGGTAGCTCCCTCACGTGTTATTTTGTTTTCAATAAGCCTTGAGGCAATGATAGTCTTTAATAAAATTCCTTTCAGTTGTATTAACTCATGGTCAGCTATCTTAATTCTTGCAATATCCCCTTATTACAAGGGATGATAATGAATATCCTGTATTATAAGGACCCGGGCTGAATGAATCCCGTAAACAATATCCCCGTATTACAAGGGATGATAACAAGTGTCCTGTATTATAAGGACCCGGGCTGGATGAATCCCGTAATCAATGTCCCCGTATTGTAAGAGATAGTAAATAAGTGTCATGTACTAAAAGGACCCGGGCTGAATGAATCCAGTAATCAATGTCCCTGTACTGTAAGGGATAGTAAATAAGTGTCCTGTACTAAAAAGACCCGGGCTGAATGAATCCCGTAATCAATATCCCCGTACTATAAGGGATAATAAATAAGTATCATGTACTAAAATGACTCGGGCTGAATGAATCCCGTAATCAATGCCCCCATACTATAAGGGATAGTAAATAAATGTCATGTACTAAAAGGACCTGGGCTGAATGAATCCCGTAATCAATATCCCCGTATTATACAAGATAGTAAATAAGTGTCATGTACTAAAGGGATGAGCTGAGTGAAACTTGTAAAAACTAATTCCCTTATTAAATGGACGACGAGCTAAGTGAAACTCGTAAAATTTATTCCCTTACCAAAGGGATGGGCTAACTAAAGCTCGTAAAAAAACTTACCCGCGGGAAGATTACCCAAGGGGAAAAGTACCCAAGGGAAGAGTGCCCAAGGGTACAAATATATATATATTGTTCAAGTGAATAGAACCCGTGACACTGTTCTCGAGAGAACAGTGCCAAGGGCCAAAAAAAAAAAAAAACACTTACCCGCAATCATAGTACCCAAGGGAAGAGTGTCTAAAGGAACATTATCTAAGGGAAAAAGTACCCAAAGGAAGAGTGCCCAAGGGTACCAAAAAAAGATATATATATTGTTCAAGTGAACAGTACCATGACACTATTCCGAAGGGAACAGTGCCAAGGGTAAAAAAAAAAAAAAAAAAAAAAAAAAAAAAACACTTACCCGTGGTCATAGTATCCAAGGGAAGAGTACCCCAGGGAAGAGAACCCAAGGGAACATTACCCAAGGGTACGAAAAAAAAAAAATAAATAAATAATAAATTTACTGTTCAAGTGAACAGTACCCGTGGTACTATTCTCGAGGGAGTAGTGCCAAGGGCAAGAGGAAAAAAAAAAAAAAAAAACCACGGGAACAGTATCCGAAGGTGAATAAATAAATTTTACATTCCCAAAGCTAGACGAGCAAGCTTAGGAATGAGGGGCAACTGATAAGGAAAAATAAACTTAACCTACATTGACCTAACGATAAGGGCAACTAAGTGTTAACCAGTCGTCAGACCTCTTCGACTTTCGAATTATGATATTTCGTTATCAAGGATGAGATAAGATGATGTGGTTCAACAGGGTAAGGATAACCTTGGCACAACTTGAGAAAGTTAAAGGGGTAGATCATATCCACGACAAAAAACTATTACTAAATCCCTGCATTTCTTTTAGACCTCTGGTGACTGACTTGATCGTCGGAGAGGTCTTGGCAGGCACCACTCCGGTGTCGTCAAGATTCATTGATCATCTACTCTCTTTTTTGCAGAAAAACAATGTCGTATCGGACCGCGTAAATTTCTCCCCCAACAGTAGTATTCATATTATTTTCAAGATATGTGAGTAGACTTATGTTAGAAATGTTCGAGAAGTGTCTAAAATAATAAAATTAATTTTGATTTATGGACACGTATATAAAGTGTCGAACACGTATTCGAGAAGTGTCGGTGTCCGGCATGGGTATGACTCCTTCGTAGAAGTATCCGTGTTTCTTAACTACCAAGAGATGAGCTAAAAAAGAGGATTAATTACACTCAAAAAAATAAAAAAAAAAAGAAAAAAAAAAGAGGTTAATTACACTCATACCATCTGAGGTTTACTCTATTGACAGTTAAATGAAATTTCTCATATTTGAACACTCACACCTCACGGTTAATTACACTTACACCCCATGTGATTGTTAAAAAGGAACTAAGATTTATCTGTTTGTCAATAGAACAAACTTAAAAGGGTACAAGTATAATTAGATTCAATTACACTCATACCCTTTTAGAATTGCTCTATCAACGACAACCAGATAAAAACTTAATTGATTTTTAAACACACGTTTCAGATTAATTACACTCACACCCCTCATAATGGTTCAAAAAGAGCTAAGTTTCATATATCTGTCAAACAAGAGAGTGTGCCATTAACCAAAAAAAAAATAAAAATGCAGAGAAGTAATGGAGTTTGGGCCCCCTGGCAACTGGCATGTTTATTGACAAGTTTCCATAGCCTCTGAATTCTTCTGACTCTTCTGAGGGTCATTGTGCTTATCTTATCTACACTTTTCTTTTTATCTTCTATACTTTCTTACACTTTGTAGTTTAGTGTTCAACTTTATGAGGACTTTGTCCTGGATGGAATAAAATATTCCATTAATAAAGTGATGAAATTTATTTTTTAAAATGGTGGGTTTAAGAGTATAAAAAGATGTTGTTTTCTAACTTGCCAAAGGTTTATTTTATATATATATAATAAACCTTCCGTAAGTTAGAAAACCTTCCGCAAGTTAGAAA